TCAGCTAAAAAAATAAAACAGTTGAGCGTTTGATAAATCTTAATGTAAAGGTGATATAATTGCATATAGTGACAAAAATGGACATGATAGAGTGCGTGATGACAACAACAAACGTGGCAAGGGCATTAGTTGTGATGGTGGTGGGGGTGCCAATAAAAGGGTGTGGTGGTTGGGCTTAGAGGTAAAAAATGATGGAGGGGTGGCGACAACAAGATCATGGCAGCTGTGGTTGTGGTTGTGACGGCAACGTTGGTAGTGGCAATTGTGTTTATGTGGTGGTGGTGGCAGTGACGACAATGTTGGTAGTGGCAGTTGTGGTTGTGGTACGTAGTAGTTGTGGCAGGTATAGTTGTGATTGTGGTTGTAGTCGTGGTGGTGGTGGTGGAGCAATTATGGTGTGGTTGTTGTAACAATGGTAGTGGTAATGGCAATGGTCATGTAAGAGATTAGAGTTCGTAGTGGTAGGTGGTGGTCACATTGTGCTCCAAGGATAAAATGTGTCTAGAAGGATAAATAATATTACTTTTATAATTAATGAGCGTATTGGAGGTTATTTTTACAAGCTGTTGTCTAGAGGTCATTGCTTTTAAAATAAGAAAGATATTTTATTTTTATCAAACATTTTTTTACTGCTTAACTTTACAATGAAGCAGTTTTTGGTAAAAAAAAAAAAAAAGAAAAAAAAAACAATACCAAACTGCTGAGTCCAGTCTAGCACACTTTTGTTATGGATGACAACAAGGTGGAGCGTCGAAGCACATTGTTGTTTTAATGAATAAATATATGTGACTTTCCATACTTTGTCGAAAATTTAATTTGGTTGCTTTAAAGCTGTTGTCTAAATATCATTGCTTTTAAAATAAGCAAAATATTTTATTTTTACCAAATATTTTTTTACTGCTTAACTTTAAAATGAAACAGTTTTGGTAAAAAAAAAAAAAAAAAAAAAAAAAAAAGCAAACTGGGCCTTTGTCCAATCTAGTACACTTAGGGTGCGTTTGTTGCACCGGACTGTCTCGGACTGGACTAGCTGCAGGGACTAAGTTGGACTGGCTTAGACTAGACTAAGCTGGACTAACTTAGTGAAGCGTTTGGTGCAGTGTCGGACTAAGAAGCAGGATAATGAAAACAAGATTATTCACCATATTTGTGTTTGCTTAGACTAGGATTACATTATTGTTCTATTTTAATAGCTCCAATACATGTGTCCAACGCCCTAAAAATTGGAGGGTTTGGAATTGGAATTGGGGTTGGCATAGGTGTAGCAGCATTGAAATTGAAATGGGAATAACAATCTTACAAATTACTACAAATATTTGGGCACATTGCCCTGAGTTTAATCTCTTGAATTGTTATTGTAATCAATCCACAACTTGCCATTAAAAGTTGATTTAATTTGTCTTCTTATCACACATTAAACGTCATTAGTCATCAAATACTTATATCAACATAACTTGATCCAAGGATTTCTTAGTCCGACAAATACATCATTCACTAAATTTTCATCCAGGATATTTTACAAAATGCCAGTTAACTATAGTATAGCATTCCAAAGTAGATCTCCATACTTTACAAAATCCTAGTTAACATTAGCCAAAATACGTCATAGTGCAAAGCTAAGTTAGAAGCCATAACCTAAGATTGTACGATTAATAAAATACATCCATGTCTAAGGGCACCACATAATATACTCATCCGCTTGCTTTGTCGCTTAAAAGCCTTTGGACGAACACTTTCTTGAGTCCCGAATTGATTGCCCTGAAAACTCCCACATTTTGTGGTTTTTCCAAAATAAGAGTCAATGCATCAATTTGATCCATAGGAGAAAGACCCCTTGCTTCAAGTTCGTTAGCTATGTCAGTATGATTTGCAGTACCTTGAACTAAAGCTTCAGTTACCATTTGCATCCTCTTCCCACTTTCAACATAAAATTCTTTCAGTCCACTAATAATTGCCTCGGTTCCATCACTTGAATTTCCCATAGCTCTTTTCCTCTTTCTTTGGCTATTTTCAGATGGGGTGCTTTGTTGGCTTTGTTGGTTCATTGAAGATACAACATTTTCACCTCCAATATCACTTGCACCAACCTGAGCATGACTTTGTTCCTCCATCATTTCAGCAGGGGTTTCGGCTACATTACTCGTAGCCCGATCTTTTCCAAATATATATGCAAATCTATCGTACAGTGGAAAAGGTTTGCTTCTCCATCCATCAGCTTCTTTATTTTTCTAAGATTATATGAACATAGCAAAACTAAAATTTAGCATGCATAACAAATATAGCAGCAAGAATATAACTAATGTATAAATAAAATAGGATATGAACCTACACATAAGAAAGCCATGCGTCATCACTGTCAACTTCAACGCACTTTTTGACATCATTCCATGCAAATCCACTTGTGTTTATCATGTCAAAGACCAAACTATATGTTTTTTTCCATTTCTTCAACTTTGACTCAATATGTGGAGTTGCCTTTATATTTGAATTAGGACATAAAGCATTGACAGCTTTCGCTATTTCAATCAAAGTACCTTGTTTGAAAGCACCTGTGTCACATCATTGCTTCCGAGCAACAAAATCCTCAAGAACGGATAGTAATACTTCTTCCTCAAATGCTTCCCATTTACGCCTTCTTCCTTTTGGCTCTTGAGAAGCATTCAAATTATTGTGGTTATCCATACCTAAACAAAAAATATTTGAATGTACTAAAATACAATATGAAGAATCAATTTGCATAATATCCAATCAATTTGCATAATATCCAATCATTTTAATAATATCCAACATATGCATGATAAAAAGGAAAACTAAAATAAAATCTTATCATTAACACATATAGCTAGTTCGGTTGCTGGTTCCTAATTGCTCTCCACTCATTATACATTTCCTGAGCCATGGCATTCCTCTTTGCAGTCCACTGGTCAGATGTTTCAACACTACCAACATATTCACCTTCTTCTGTATTTTGTCCATCTTCTATTATTGGCACATTCTCCATGGGATCTACAGACATCTCTTGCCTAATAAGATTGTGTAGTAGGCAACAAGCGGTAATTATTCGACCTTGTGTCCTTATCGGATAGAAAGATGGACTCCTTAGTATCCCCCACCTTCCTTTTAGCAAGCCAAAACAACGTTCAATTACATTCCTTGACTTAGAATGCTTCATGTTAAAATATTCTTCCTTATTAGAAGGTGTTCGTCCTTCCCATTCAGATAAATGATAAGGTATTCCTCTATAGGGTGCAAGGAATCCTTCACCATTTGTATAACCACCATCTACAAGGTAATAATAACCTAATAAAAAAAATGACCTTATATTAGTATTTTGTAGTTCACAAACAAAACTAGACCTAACTTACAAAGTTGAGACTAACTAATAATCTTACCCGTTGGTACCTTAAAACCATTAGGCCTAGTAATTGCATCATGTAGCACTCTAGAGTCTGATGCGGAACCCTCCCACCCTGGAAACACATATATGAACTGCATATCTCCTGAACATACACCTAATACATTAGTTGCGACTCGACCCTTTCTAGTTCGGTATCTTGGTTTGTCAATTTCAGGTACATGCACATCAATGTGTGTTCCATCTAATGCTCCCAAGCAATTCTAAAAAAAAAAAATAAGCTTTTGTTAATTTATACAAAGGGAATGAAGAGTTAAAGCTTAGGGAAAATGAAAATAATTATCAACATACCTTAAAACATCGCCACCTAGGATCTGTAGAATCAATAGGCACAGGTTGAGGGACTTTTAGTAGGATACCTTGTAATCGCAAAATTCCTTGCAACACACTATTGAAATACCTACTTATAGTCTCTCCCGACCTATAAAATCTACCACCAACACTACGAATCTTAGTATGATGTGCTAGTATTTGTAAAGTCATACACACCTGCTCCTCTACAGAGACCAAACCATCCGTTTTTACCCTCCCATCTTGACGAAGTAAGTCACATAATATGCCAAAAGTCCTTCTATCCATTCTCAATTCGTTGACACATTCAACATTAGTATTCCCTATTATACCATTCAGATAACACAAACTAATCTCTCGTCTAACAAGTGAACGGTTAGTCAAGGTGCGTCGTTCAACATGTCTCTGTTTTGCCTTTAGCATCAGCAACACAAGAATCGTACAAATGCAAATCGTCTCTAAATGAGACATCTCTAACAATAAGATCAATAAAAGCTTCCTTCGATCCATATCTATCCAAACAAAAAAAAAAGGAAAAAAATATTAAGGACATTATGCTACTGCATGCTTTCCATCTGGCACAAAGAACAAACCAAATAATATAATCCAGCTATGCTATATCAGCTGATAAAACAACATTACCGCAAATATCAAAAGCAAACTGAAACAAGTACAAAATTTCTAGGTATACTTATACCTAGAAAAACAGAAATCATGGAAAAATAGGTAGGGAAATGACAAGTTGCACTTGAACTAATCAATCGTGCAGTGTTCTAGTTTAAAATACAACTCGGGGTGTAGAGAAGAGGGTTTTAAAAAATATGTACGAAAAATCTAAATGAGAGGTTCAAACAAAACATGTCAAACAAATCTGAATGAGAGCTGTCAGATAATATGAAGCAGAAGATTCGAGCAGTTTTAAACTAGGGATGAAGATTCAAACTCAAGACATTTTCCAAATATCAGTAAAGGAAGTTGCACAACTAGACTAAGAGAAACATCTCTTCCAACAGTGCATAAATCATAGCCACTGATAGATTCAGAAATGTTCAAAATATCAGATACATTTCCTCATAGGTGAAAACAAATGGACAAAGATACAGCTCCTGACCACAAATTTTAGTTCAACCTGGTTTGGACATCACCTTGCAACGTTACCTGAACATGAGTTTTCAATGACATGCTGTTCTCAAAAGCTTAACTTACTCCGATGTGAAAGAAAGAATGTGTGCAAGTACTGATATTGTACGAATCATGGATGAATATGTAATATAAAATCGATAATAGCTTTTAGATGCTTATAGATGCTTATATCTGGTTATCTTAGTTTCCATTTCCCAGTATTACCTCTACATAGACATCACATAACGTAGAAGCTACATATAAAAGTGCTTTCAGTGTTTTGCTGGACAAAGTGCATTCTAAATCTGCATGCGTTAGTATTGACATTCAAATTCCTTATTCTGTATCTTTGCAGTATAATTATCCTTAACTCAGTCATCATCCCAACTCTACACTGGATATTACCTGATAGATGCCCAGAATATAGTTCTCAAGAGCTCTGCTCATTTGTTGGTACATTGAAATTTTATTCCGTCTTGCGGCATGGACTCGTACAACTCTTTTATGTAAGTATGCAGCCAATTTAAGATCCTCACTTTGTGCATGGATGGCATTCTATTGAATATTTCTTAGTGGCAAAATGGATGAATATGCATTTTTTGTGTAATGTTTTGCCTCATTAAGTTTTGTAATCTTCGTGATATGGCTAAAGAAAGTGTATGTGTCATGTAATATTGGATGTTTAATTCTCTTGTTTCTGATTATTGTACTGGTATGTAATCTTGGTTTGTTTGTTATCTTACAAAATATTTCTTTATCACTATAGATGCCTGAATTACTGAAGGGATTCAATTCCTTTCTCAATTCACGGAATACATAATTTTCATTTATTTATTTTTGCTTTGCAGGTAACTTGGTTCTACCCACTGTACATATTCAGCATTATCCTAAGCAACCTCTGGTACTACCAAATTATCCCCTTTTGCTTAATTGTTTTACCCCTACGTTATTTACTTGATTCTGTTTTAATTACCATAGGTATGAACTGAGCACAGGTAAGGTATAGATATCTTTTATTCTTTATTTATTTGGGTGTATGGATTCATAAAGGGAGGAACAGGATTTAGTTTTCATACTTATTAGACTTAGAGAACGATAGAGAGAGAGGAGTTTATATTCAAATTGCAATATGCTCCATGGCTTATGTGCCACTTTTTGGATGACAGAATCGATGGCTTCTGCAGGTATATGTGACTGGATATATACCATATGTGGGGAAGGCAGTAAATTTTCTGCTTCTGTCCTGGATGTATGCCTATTACTGTTTCGAGTACGTGGTGCATATACATTTTTGGCTTAATCTAATTTCCTAGATAAGTGTGTGCTAATGCTCCTTTTGAACTCTTTTAGGTACAAATGGAATTTTTCTGAAGTTCGTCTTGAAAAAAGGCTGGATTTCTTTGAATCTAATTGGGCATTTTTTGCTGGTTTTGGTAAATATACAACAATTTATCATATTCACTAAACAAATTAATATAGGAGTACTTGTAAGTTGTATACACGAGTTACCTAGCAAAGGCAATTTTATAACAACAAAGTTGATCCTTAAGCCACTTTGATTTCTTAAGCCGATAACCATTTACCAAAAGTAACATAATTTGCATTCAACAGATGAACATTCATATGGAAATCCAAAATTAAAGCGAACAAATCAAAGCATTATAACTACCAAAACACAAAAGCCAATGTACTTCCGAATCCTAACAACATCATATTGAACACAAAAGGATGATAAAGTGAAACACTACCCCATTTTCTCAGCTCAATTCTCAACTGCCAAACCCAGTTTCATGTTTCATCTCACTTACATCTGCTTTTGCAGCAGCAAACTCCTAAAATAGGATTTAATCCAAATAAAACCCACATATGATTTCTTAAGCCGACAACCATTTACCAAGGTTGCAGATAACCATTTACCAAGCCGATAACCATTTCTTAAGCCAAATAAAACCCACAAAAGCCAATGTACTTCCGAATCCTAACAACATCATAATCAACATACCCAACATGCTAAGCAGGCTACTTCTACCAAGGTTGCAGATTGACAGTGAATTTTAGTGAAGTTCAGATGCTCTAATCAATCTCAATTTGACCTAAAAATCAAAACCCTAATTTGTTCAAGTGCAGAGGTCTAGGATTCAAAATTTCTCAAACCCAAAACAACAAAATCAAATAAAGTTCAGTAATATCACGATCTGCAAAACAAATGACGAAATAAATCGAAGATTCGAAGTTTACCAGACAACTCGGAGCAGATGAGGGCGAGCAGATGCAGATGAGGAAGACGCAGAGATGAGGGGTGAGGAAGACGACGATGAGCGAGGGCAAGACGACGATGAGGGAAGACGACGATGAGCGACGGCAAGGAGGACGAGCAGGAAGTCACCCTCGCGATTTTCTCTGGGCTTACGAGTCCGCCCAATTTTGGGGATCCTGGGTAAGACCTCGTAAGGAGGTGTTTAATCCGAACGAATCCCACCTAATCTCATTAAACCAAATCCTGCAGCATACCAAACAAAGGACTATAGTCCAGTCCAGTCCAGTCCTCCTTAATCCTATCAAACAAACGGGCCCTTAGGGTGTATTTGTTTCCCTTCACTAGCCCTCATTGGACTGGACTGGACTAGACTAATAGTTAGTCCAGTCCCATGTTTGTTACTTCACGGGACTAGCTTTAGTGGGAGTAAATCGGACTCGCCTCGACAAAGGACCGTGCTAGATGGTCTTAGCGAGAGATGTCGCAAACCATAGGACTAGCTAATCTCTTCGATCGCTCTCTGCTCGCGTCCTTTACTCTCCTATCTGCTTGCGTTCTCTACCTCTCCTCATCCCCAACCCTGAATCATGAACAAAGACCTCGATTCGAACTTTAATCGTAGAACTCACGAGCTCCATCGTTCGATTCACCTCCACTCAGACCAACCTCATCGGTCACGCCCTCCGACCCAGAAAATAGAGAAATGAAGAACTTGGGCACAAACTGCATCTTTTTCCTTTCCCACCTCATTCCCGCGACTGAGGAATAAAAGCAGAGAAACAGACAACTACCACAGCCCGCCCCATATATCCGAAAGAAACGATTCACAAGGCATAAGCTCTAAACAACATAATCCCCCACACTATAGCTTTAAGCCTATGCACTTCTCTACCCTCTCCCAGAAAGTCCTCGAGCCCTCAATTCCAACGCCTCACAATCGCCGCCAGGATCCGAGAACGAACTCTGAAATTTCAACTCGTTCCGTTACCCACAGCTCTAGCACCCGCACCATGCCATTTTCTTTGAGGCAAAACAAAATAAATACAAAGTTTCAAACTTTGAAAAATAAGAAGGAGGCCAAAGTAATTTGAGGTGGATTGGAAGAAAAAAGGGAGTTGGGAGAAGACAGAGGTACAGAGAAACGAGGTAAACAGTGGGCGGAGAAAAATAGAGGCTTAGACAGAGATAATCCGGTGCAACAAACGCCCCCTTATATTGACAACAGTATGGAGCGTACGTGGAAGCACATTATTGTTTTAATCAAACAAAATCTATGTGATTTTCCATACTTTGTGTTGACAATTTAATTTTTTATGTTTAAATATTTGTAAAATTAAATTAACAACATAAAATTTGAAAAAAAAAGTAACAAAAAAATTGAGGCTAAAATAGTTGTTTGATATTTAATATAGCTAAGGTTCTAACTTTAGCACTACATCGTTGGAGAAAAAAATAATTTGGTGATCAAAAATTTGTTCAGTCGACCTATTTTATCGTTTGACTCCATAACATTAAAGATGCATGCCATATTGTAAATTGCTTTTATAGTGGAATATCAATTTTTATCTTGGTATTTAAGCAAGTTGACCCACATGTGAAGGTTGAAGTCTAACGATCAAACGTGCTCCATATGATCCATTCATATTGTCCACAAAGTAAATCTCACATTACAAAAGATTGTTCAGTAATTTTATAGTAAAACCTAACCTTCTTCATTTATAATGGTTGATGTGTCTCTTCAAATAATTAATACCCATTATATATATTAAAACTAGCCATTCATGAAGAATTGTTATATTAAAACTAGCCATTCATGGAGAATTGTTATATTAAAACTAGCCATTCATGAAGAATTGTAAATTTGTTGTATAACATAATGCATGTCCCTTAAGACAAAAAGGATTGGATGGCTGGTTGAAATGCAATTTTGATGGGACCTGGGAGGAGCACGATTGTGTAGGGGGAGTGGGTGTAGTAATACAAAATGAAACGGAAACGTTTGTGGCTGCGATGACGTTGAAGATGGTTGGATTTCATCGCCGCTGCAGGTTAAGATGGAAGCAGCGAGAATAGCGGTGATGTTTGCACGGGAAGCGTCTACAAGGTAGGTGGAATTTGGAGGTGATGCGCAACTGGTCCTTGCTGTGTTAAATTTGAAGGCAGTGGAGTGGATGATACTTCTCCGTTGGGGCATGTGGTGAATGATGCTCGGTATTTTTTGCGTACAATTCCTCACATAAAGCTCACTTGCACTAGATGGGAGGCACAGGCAAATCAGGTGGCTCACAGATTAGCAAGATTGTGATTGTCTTTGGAGCAACAATTATTTTGGCTTGAGAAATCACCTGATGTAATCACTAATCTCATGGTTAGGGATAATACTTCTTTGTAATTTTTTGGTACATGACGCTCTTTTTTCCTTCGACCGGGTTGAAATCCTCAGCAAGGTTTTTATCGAAGCTCATCTAATTGCACCCTATCCTCCAATTTGTATGTATTCGTTTAATGTACCAATTAATATCGTACTTATTCTAAAAAACCAAAAGGGATCGTCATATTTTGTGAGAAATGTGAACTACTTGCGGAGTTCACTCCATATTGAATTTCAACTCAAAAAATGAGGTATATGCATTATATGTCATAATATAATGCATATTGAATTTCAACTCAAAAAATGTGAACTACTTGCGGAGTTCACTCCATATTGAATTTCAAGTTTTATTTCTAAAATATTAGTCAAATAAAAAATGATTGAGAAATCTAATTATGTTAAAAGAAATTGACAAACATAGTGATCTAAAATAAATGAAAATTTTATCATGCGAATCAAAGGGATAAAATGGAGACTTCAAAAATAAGATGATAAGAATATAAAATAAGTCCCGCAACTAGTCTCAATTTCTTGTAACAAGTGAGAATCCCTCTCCATAAAGATCCTATAATATAATGACCGCTAAATTACATCAAATGCAAAATCATAGACCATTATTCAACTACCAAAAGGTACCATAACTTGCGCCACAATTCTGTAAATATAATCCAATCGGCGGCTTCCTTAATCATATTCAAAACAAAGAAGTATCTGCTACTTGAGTTCAAATTTATTTGTTCAAAAATTGAACCGTTGGTTCGAGTTCCTTTGTTCAAATTGAACCGTTGGTTCCAGTTCCAATTATAACCAATCACTGCCTTCAACCAAATTTTTTCCACTACTTCGAGAGATTTTGCTGTGTACTAGCAACATAAGGTATATGCATTATATGTCATAATATAAGTAGAGAAAAATATATTTTAAAGTAGAACATATCAACTATGTCGTTCATAATGTGTTCCATTACCACTTCGAATTTCTTCTCCTTTATACTTATAAAATTATTCCAACACCACCTCCTTCCCTGTCCCTAACTCCCCCGATGCAGCCCCTTCTCCCAACTTCAAACCATTGCCGCCACCTCTCCCCCTCCTGTCTTCCTCTGTACCACTCATTATTAAAAAACCAACAACTGCATATTCTCGGGCTCACAAAACTGTTCAACTTTCAGTTGTTAATTAACTGGAAGCCATCAGAGCTGTTATATATTGAATAGTTTAGAGGGGTTTAATAGCTGATTTCAATTATTCAAATCTGAATTTTCATTTTTTTAATTTGAATGGTTGACTAGATTTTTTTTTTTTTTTTGAATGTGTAAAATTCACAATTTAATTCATATATAAGGTGTACAGAGTGAAACTGTTTGGACATTGACACAAAATTAACATATTTACTGATGATAAACTCTTTAACTTGAAGTAATTATAAATTAATGGGTTAAAGTTTACATAACATCCATGCACCTCGAAAAACATCGCATAATACAACTTCTTTGATGGTCTAATGTTGTTAGCATGTTAATCCACATTCTAAAGCTTAAACTTTAAAAACTTAGTTGAACATTAGCAAAATTCATCATAATTTTTATGAGCAGACGTATCTAAATATTTGTATTATTTTGTCCCACATAATTAATCGCTTACTAAACGTTCAGACATATCACTGATTAAATTCACTCACAAGAGGGAACACAACATTATACACACACAGTAGATACAGGATCACAGGTTAGCAATCATTCTATAATATATTTGTGGTAGAACCACCGCAAGGTGGTTCATTTGTTGGGGATGAATTTCAGATCCGTATTCTATACAGAGTATCCTGGGTTTGATTTCTGGCACTAATGAATCACACGATGGTAGCTAGGGAAAAGTTGAAATCCCTTCGTGAGTCTTTCCAACCCTCAAAAATGTGGATTGCATAGGCAAAGTCACTAGATGGTCTCATTAATATATATATATATATATATATACGTATATATATACGTGTGTATATATATGTATGTATGTATTGGGAACTTTAACAAAAAGTTTCCGGTATTATTCATTTTAACGAAAAACCACATTTTACATTAAAAAATCAATCATAATACTATTCACTTTACTTTTTATTTTGTGATACTCCAACTACTGTGGTGAATATATATGCTTGCACTGCGAATGAAGAATGTGTTATAAATAGTTCAAAGTTAGAGAGATAACCTTTTTAATGGTATGTGCGAGGTAAATATAAAATGTCACACTAAAACTATAGCACAAGAGGATAACAAATAAAATACAGAGGAATAGATGATGTTACAGATCTTTTCTCTCGTTCTCTTCTTTTTATATTTTCTGTCACTTGAAAACATACAGAGTGCTCTATTTATAGAGCAACTCCAAACTGATGCATTAACTGCTCATTGAAGTTTACAACACTTTATTTGACAATACAACCTCCATGCATTTACAAATTCAATTTTATTCTGCATGGGCATTGAAAACTTCTACCAATGCTGGAAAACTTTTACCAATGTACTGTGGGCATTCATTACCCACCAGTCTTTTCAACGGAATGCATTATCTGTTACATTATTAGATATATCAATTAATTGTATATTTTTTAAGTCTGTAATTGAATGATTATAGCTAAACGTATATACTTACGGCATGAAGAATGCAAATCATTTACGGCGTGAATCGGCAAAACTTTGTTTAGGCTGGCCACTTTGTCAGAGTAATACTA